CAGCACTATACCCACTCTGATCGGTTCCTGCAGGGGGCTCATCACACCTCCTCCCAGGTGGTGAGAGAGGATGTGCATAAAGACACCCAAACTAGTGCCCGCCCCGTGGATGGCCCAAGACACCACCCTTATCATTACTGTTGCTATGGGAATGACATCCACAAGAACAAACTCTTCCTGGCATTTTCAAATCCCCAGCGTCCCCAGAGACACAGCAGGGCTGGGATCGGCGCTCCCCGACTCCATCTGGTTCCCAGCTGCCAGCTACAGCAAAAAGCTGAACCCAGGACGCTGGCGAGGACCCCCACCACAACGTGACATGTGCCCATCAGGGAATAAAAACCAACCAACCAAACAAACAAAAGAACACCCAAATCACACATGTGCGCGCGCGCGCGCACACACACACACACACACACACACACACACACACTCACACTCAATATTCTGACACAGAGAGGCCCACAGCCACTATTGGAGGAAACAGAGGCAAGGGAACGGACACGACGCAGAGACCTAACTCCTTCCAGCTTGAATCGGCCGGAGCAGCTTTGTGTTGGTCATCTCGAGTCCAAAATGGTGTCACCTCTCAGAAGCCACCAGCCCAAAATGGGACTATTGCTTGCGGACGGGTGGCTCAGAATCCCCTCCCCTGCACTCCAGACCCCTGCCCCTGAGTTTGCTCCTGATCTTAGAAGTCTGCAGAAGGGGGTTTTGGGCACAGGTGGCATTTCCTTCTCTGCCACCACCGCGGCCACCTCGGCTCTCCCTGGCGTCTCTGTTGACGTTGTTCTTCTTGGAGGCGGCACCGGGTGCTTCGGGTCTCACCTCCCCCATCCTGAGGCACGACGAAAGGGTTTTCTGGGGAGGCAGAAGGAAACAAAATATCACATGGTGTCTCCTCCATGGGGACACACTGGGGACATTTCTCTCAGACCTCAGTACCAGGAGAAGCCAGTTTTTCTCTGAGCCCATGACTTGTCTTTGTCTTCTGGATATTGAGAATGGTTTGACTTTCAGACTGGAAGCAAGACAAGGAAGCCTGTCGACACGATGGTTCCATATATTAATAGCACTAGCGTTCCTGCCCCACGCAATAAGACAAGAAAAGTACAGAGTGTCAGGAGTGCAACAGAAGGTCTCAAATTACAATTATTTGCAGATGAGATACATAGAAAATCCAACAGAATCAACAGGCTAATTATTAGAACAGAGAGTGCAGATATAAAGATACAATTTTCAATCTGTGAGACATCAGATCAACCTAGAAAACCAACAGTGTTCATTTACCTCAACATTTACCAGGGTGATTGATTATATGTCTTGGCTTGGGACAGTCCCAGTTAACACCTGTTGTTCTGACATCATTTTTAATATTGTTCCCCTTTCACACTCAAAGGTATTCAGATTTTGATGATAAACTATATGGTCACCCTTGCTACAACAAACTAAAAAATATTAAGAATGGATACAGATACCATTCATAATTATAAAAAAACCCCATTATGAATCTTGGAGTCACACCACTGGACACGACCATATCATACAAAGCCATGGAGAGGAAAGCAGGGCCCTGCTGGCACAGGGACAGGCCAGGAGACCAGTGGGGCAGGATCAGGGGTGTAAACACTGACCCATGGAGCACTGGCAGCTTTGATTGGCAGGGTCAAGTTGCCTTAGTCCTTTCTTCCCTCAAGTCACCTCCAAACAAGGACAGCGAGGAAGAGAAACACAAACTCCATCTGTGGCAGGCATTGTGAATTTCCTGTCTTATATCCATTTATAGGACAATTTCCCAGTCACAAATACTCACCTTCCCAGTCTCCCTCGCAGAGAGGGGTGGTCACATGACCCCACCTGGCCAATGCCGTGAAAGTGGAAGTCTACTGGGAAGGGGATATGAATCTAGTGAGAGCGCGAGAATGAAGGACCTCACTAATGCAGGTGGGATGGAAAGCAGAGAGAGACTTGGTTCTGGTGGCCCCCGACTGCCCACCTCCATCCACACCAGTGCGTCTGGGTTTCTGGCTACTTGTATCAGATTAAAGCTCTTAACTGATAAAACACCTTTGACCAAGCTCCAGTGTATGTTAGCAGGGGATGGGGGGAAGTTGAGGGAGGGGCTCCGACAAAGCCAGCACAGCCCATCTTTCTGGAGTGAGTCATACTCCAAGGGGCTGAGCCAAGCGCCCGCTCTGCATCACTGGGAATGTGTGCATGGCACCTCAGGATGAGCAAGTCCATGGAGCCTTCTCCTCTGCTTCACAGAAAAACTAGGTCCTAGTCCCCCACCACCTGCTTTATCTTTCTCCACAGCATGTATCTCTGTCCAGCACACCTCACGTTGTACTTACGGGTCCAGATTATTGTTTGTCTCCCCCAACCACAAAGTAAGCTACAAGAATGCCAAGGTGTTTATGTGTTGTGTTCATTTTTGTATTGCCGAGGTCTAGAACAGTAACTGGCATATCGTAGGGGTTTGATAAATATTTGTTGAACAAATGAATGAACCAAGAATTTGAAGCCCATAGGAACCATTTTTTAAGTATAAAGTCAACAGAAAAACTTTTTGCGAAATCATATGTTTTTGAATTATAGTTCCCATGAGCCCTTCTTATATAAATTACTAGAGGACACACTTAGGATACCCAAGTGTAGATGGAGTAGCTCTGGCCAAAGCACTGGCAGTGAGAATCTATTTAACTGTAGGACTGTGTCTGAAACAAATCTAAAGATTGTGACTATCATAGAAAAGGATGAAAGAGAAAACAGAGAACAGATATAAATAACAGGAGAGGTAGAGGTGAGACGGAGGGAGGCAATATACATAAACAATATCTTATTCATTTATAGTTGCAGATATACAGAATCATTTAGAGATGTACGTAAAATTAGAGATACAAAGGTAAGTAGAAAAATAATATAAAATATGATAGAATCAACTAAAATCATTTAATGGAAGGTAGAAAAGGGGAGGAAATCATTCATACCAGGGAGAAAATAAACATTCTAAATAAATAGAGGATTAAGGGTATCATATGACAGTATAATTATGAAGATAACCATGGGATGAAAAACACAGCTTTCCAAAATGTAAGAAGAATATACACAAAAAAAGAAAACAGAGGCCATATGGCAAAAATTAACAACCCCCACAAAACATATAAAAGCAGAAAGCATATAATAAACCGTGATGACAGGACTGAGACCAAATATATCTGCCATATCAGTAAATGTTAAATGAGCCATATACACTTGCTAAAAAGAAAAAAGACTCTCAGACTGGATTACAAACAAAATCTGCTGAAGGTAGAGTGCTTCAGAAAGGTTTAATATAAAAGAATGGGCAGATGAAAAATTTCTCGTGATGGCCACCCAACAATATGATTTAATGACACTGAACTGTACACTTAGAAATGGTTAACATAGTAAATTTTATGTTATGTGTTTTACCAAATAAAAAAAAAAAGATGGGCAGAAACATATTAAACAAATGCAAACCATGAAAAACCAGGGGTCTTGACCTGATTATTAGGTAAAGCTGAAGTCAAGGCAAGAAATATTTAATGAGAAACAGAAGGGCACTGTGTGGGGGTCAAGGATGAGAGTCACCATGAGGATCTAAAAGTAATGCATGTCGGGCCGGCCGAGTGGCGCGATGGTTAAGAACTCGCTTGGGATGCCAGAGGGCCCCGGTTCGGATCCCACATATGAGGGCCAGTAACACTGCCCTCCACAGCTAAGATGCTGAACAACAGCTCAACCTGGAGCTGGGCTGCCTGAGTCACCGGTGACGGCGTGGGCTGCAGTCCCTGTGGCAGTGGATTGCCATGGGCTACCGTGTGTGGCTAGCAGCCAGCGTGAGCGGCCAGCAGCCGCAGTGAGTGGCCATCCAGAAGCCGGTGACTGATCTGCCTCGCCAGAGAAGAGCGCAATGATGGTGCCAACTTGGGCCAGTGAAGCAACATCCTCCACAACTAGACTGAAGAACAAAACGACAGCAACTTGTCTGTTCCCCTTCCCCCAATTCCCCAATAAAAATCTTAAAAAAAAAAAAAAGTAATGCATGTCTATGCACCAAATAACACAGCATCAACGTTCATTGAGCAAGAACTGCTGGAAAAGCAGAAAGAAAAAGAGAGCATGAGAGTGCACGAGTATTAGTGCCTTTTAATTCACCTCTTTCAGTCCATTAGAGATGAAGATGGCAAAAACACAAATAAGGATATAAGGAGCCAATTAATCAGATTAATAACATTGTGTGTGTGTCTTTGTGTGTGTGTGTGTGTGTGTGTGTATGTGTGTATTAACAGAATCTACCTTCTGTTTAAATACTGTTGAAAATGCACACACCCACAAAATGACTATCAGGCTACAAAGCAAATAAATTCCAAAAAGTAGAAATAAAACAACACTCTCTAATCTCAATATACCAGAATTTGAAACTATTATTAACAAAACCACAAAACAAAACAAACTCTACCATTAAAAAGTTTTAAAATTCTTTAAAATAACTCAAGTCAAAGAGAGAGCAAAGAATAAAAACTATAGAATGACTAGACAACAATAAAAATAAAAATATTACAGCTCAGAACTTGTGGGATGCAGCCAAGGCGATGCTTGGAGGAAAATTTATAGCTTTAAATATTGATATTAATAAGCAAGAAAAACAGGAATTAATCACCCAACTGAAAAAAATTAGAAAAGAAAGGCAAAATAAGCCCAAGTTAAAAAAACAAAAAACAAACAAACAAACAAACAAAAAAAACCCAAGGAAGGCATCAGAAAGTGATAAATTAAGACTGAAATGAAATTCAAAATAGTAAAAGGAAGAAATGAATGTATAAACCCAATTTCTGGTTCTTTTTGAAAAGCAATGAAACATCCTAACTGTTGGTGAATCTGGTAAAATAAGGAGGAAGTGGCCACTTGGAAGTTATCTGTACTTATGCTCAGCAATTCCACTTCTCCACGGTCCCGTAACCTCTCCAGATAGGCTTTTGTCCCAACTATTTTGCAGAATTTGCCTTGTCAAGGTCACCACAGACCTCCACGTTGCTACATCTCGTGGTCACTTCTTGGTCCTCCTTCTGCTCGTCCTCTTGGCAGCATTCACTCCTCCAGCTTCCGGGACAGTCCAGCCTCTCACCCGTTCCTCCTCATCCTTAGGCTTCTCGGCAGGTCCCTCCCCGCCTTCCCAGCATCCTTTTCTCCTCTCCGTCTCTACTCACCCCTGAAGATCTTATCTTCCCCCCAAGGATTTAAACACCCTATACACTGAGGACTCTCCTGCCTCAATCTCTCACCTGAACTCCAGGCTCAAATCTCCAAACTGTCTACTTGACATCACCAACTGGAAATTTAATAGACATTTCAAATTTAATATGCCCTGAACTAAAATCCAGATCTTTCCCCCCAAACCAGCTTTGCCCAGGGTTTTCCTGACCTCGGCAAATACAACTCCATCTTTCTGGTGCTCACATGGGAGTCCCAGGGCATCTCTGGCCCCCTCTTTCTCTCACACCCCATATCCAATCCATTAGCAAACCCCATTGTCCCTTCCTTCCTTCCTTCCTTCCTTCCTTCCTTCCTTCCTTCCTTGGAGTTCCTGCTGCCTCCTTTGCTCCTACCCTGGTCCAAGCCAGCAGGATCCTTGCAGCAGTCTCCCCCCTGGTCAACCCCTTCTGTCTACACTCCACACAGCAGCCAGAGTGATCCTGTGAGAATCTACATCACATCATGTCAGTCCTCTGCTCAAAACCCTCAATGGCTCCCGACTCACTCAGAGCAGCAGCCGAAACCTTCCCCTGCATCGTCTCCGATCAAATCCCTTATCTTCTCCCTTTGGTTCATCCCATTCC